ATGTAACCTAAGTTACCCACCTACTCAAATGCCCACTAGGTAAGGATCACCACATGTGCACCTACAGCCCTTGTCTCACGAGTGTCGGTGTAGTTGACAGCATTCTTACGTTTAATAAAGAACAGTGAGGCTGACATAAATACCGTAACCTGAAAACAGTGATGTTGATTTCCTACAACTGTAAAACACAAATAAAAGAATCATTCAAGGATTATGAAATGTCACGCAGTGTGCAATGGGACTTCAGAAAGTTCATGAGATAATAGAAGGGAAAGATGATGACGTTTTCTCAGAAAATTTTTGAAGTCCCCTCGTATTAGCTTAACATGAACCAAGTATCCGATCTTCGAGTGTTTCTGTCCCACAGTCAGACTGGGGAATGCTTGGTGTATATAAAAATACAGAGGGAGGGGAAGATTATTCTTATCACAATGCAATCAACGTGTTGCTATAAAGCAGAGGTGGTTGTTAATTGCCATCGAGTGGGTTCTAACTCACAGAGACCCTGTATGGGGTTTCCGAGGAGCTACTGGTGGCTTTGAACCACTGACCTTGTAGTTCGCAGTCCAGTGTTTGTCCTACAATGCCACACCAGGAATCCAAAAGACAGGGTGTTGTTGTGAAGTGCCGTCAAGTCAGTTCAGACCCATAGCGACCCTATAGGGTTTCCGAGGAGCAGCTTGTGAGCTTCACCCGCCGACCTCACAGTTCAAAAGGCTTTGCAGTATGGCTCATTAACCCACAGCACCACAATGCTAATGCCAAACCCACAACATCTAATAAATGGTGAGGTGCCTCACCAATTTCCAGTGCTCTGAGAAGCTGCCATTCAGCATGTCTGCCCTGAAGAATACGGTGGCCAGCCTGAACCTGGGCCAGTAACCTGAACACATGGCACACTACCGGAGATCCACACACTCAGCTGACTCCTCCCCAGAAATCCTAGATGTAAAAATACTGGGGTTCACTCTGAATATTCATTAATGACTTAAGAGGAAAGGTAAATTTCCTTTGATCATGAAGTTCCCTGTCTGTCTCTGTTTAACACTCACCTAACTGTAAAGCCTTTGTTGACAACAGGGATTTTTTAGCATATGGGCCTTCCTCCAATGCTATTGGTGGGGATCTCTTCCTAATGGTGTCCTCAAGACCGCCAAAACAATCTCAGACGTTTCACCACCTCCCAGTTTCAAAGTCACCCAACACCCGGCTGATTTCCCAGCACTGGACTCAAACACTGTGTTTCCATTGTAGCGCGCACCTGGCTTTCACACAGGGTGTACTGATGGCGGCTGTTTCGGGTACAGTCTTTGTGGGTACACTCGCTTTCTAGATTGCTCTATATTACTATTAGCAGACGTCATAACAAGGCTTTAGCTTAGCATGCGATAGAGAGAATTACTTATTTAAAATACGGACTATCTGAGAATAAGCAGGGAAATTGTTCTTTTCTTCTATGAATGGTTGGTATTTCAGTGTGTGACTTTAGAAGACGGCAGCATCCTATCTCAGAGACACTTCAGGTGCTCACAAAGTCTCAAAAGTGCATTTGACACTACTGAGTCTCTGCTTCCAAACTTTATAGTACAAGTATATGAATTTATTTTCAATAAATTATCACTTTTGCATATATCAGTCAAACCACAAAGCCTAAACACTTGCAAACAAAATGCATTATTAATTTAATTGTCACAGCCTATTTAGCTAACTTCTATTACTATTTGCTATAATAAGCATACGAGAGGAGACTCAAATTCAAAACATAAAAAAAAAGTAAACTGATTACACTGTCCTGGAGAAATTAAAATATAGCATGCTTGCAAAATTACAGCCAAAGCATTAATGTTTTAAATAGGTAAGAAAAAAACGTTGAAATTAATTTAGAGAACCGTTATGCCCAAAGTGATGGTTCAATATGCTGATAGAGTTTCTTTGCTTCCTGCACCATTACAAGCACCAATTCTTCCCCCTCCAAGAAGGAGGTGGTGGAGTGTGAGAAGGCAACCTTTCCAAATGGACTGAGCTGGAGGTAGGACTAGAATCTCATTCTTTACCAGCGAGGGCCATCTGGGATGAGAGAGCGCGGCTGTGGAGGTCTCATCGTCCCAGGCAGTATTTCTATGCAATGAGACAACACTCCACACAAGCAAGTGTTCAGAAAACACAAGCCTCAGTGCTGAAGGATTACCAGTGTAATACTCCAGAGGATGATGGGGTGTGCCTTGGCATTGTGAGATTTGCACCAGGAGTTTAGGAGGAAGAAAGAGGGCTGCTATCTGAGAAAGCTATCACGCTTCGGGGGAAGAAGGCAGGCAGGCACACACTCCTTTGCCTGTGTTTAGACTCTGCTTATGTACTGCTGATCCAATGAGTGGAAGAAAGAGAAAAGCTTCTGGAGCGAACACACAGAAAAACAAGGAACCTACACAGCACACCTGTGCTTGCCGGACTCCATCACAACTCTCAGAGAAGGTCCACTACTGTCAGGCTGAAGACACCAATATGAAACCATAGGAATAGAGGCGTCTTGCTCCCAAATAAAAAACAAAATGGCACATCTCGGCCTGAATCATATTCAGTCAGCCTCCTGGATCTGCAGATTTTGAATCAAGCCATGCGCGAGTGGGGGTGGGTGTCTGCGCGTGGAATTGAGTCCCCAGAGCAATCCCTCCCAGGCTGAGCGGAGCAGACAGTGAGTGCATTTCCATCTGGCAGGGACTATGAAAGATGTAGACAAGATCTAAGGATGCAGGGATGGGGAGAGGAGGTGGGCAGGTTACATGCAAATACAACACCATCTTACACAAGGTACTTGAGCATCCACGGGTTTGGGCGTCCACAGGGGTCCTGGAACTAATCCCCTGGGTACTAGTTTTGGGTATACAGGAACCCTTTTATCCCCTTGTTCATCTGATCTACACTGTTTTCGTGCATATATGTTTTGTGAATACAAAACCCTAAGTATCTACATCTGACTGATTTTTACTGAGCCATCATCAATATCTAGTACTGAGAAAGACAATCGGAATCCGAGTCAGCCCAACAACAGCTCTACCACCCAGTCGTCATGGAGACACCAAGCACACGACCACTGTCCTGAACCTCAGTCTTTGGTGTGAAGTTGGATCCCACTCATGGCAGCCCTGTAGACAGTTTCTGAGGAACGGCTGGTGGGTTTGAACCACCAACCTTGCAAATAGTAGCCCAGGGCTTATGTTACAGAGTCATGCCAAGCCTCTACTAGGGGTTCGAAGCCAGGCCTCCACCTGGGGTGACTGGGGACCTAAACAGAGCACCTGAGATTAGAGCTGTAAAGTTTGAAACATGACACCTTCTAACAAGGTCAGATACAGCATGTGGAAAGCATAATGACCATAGGAATTAAATTTCCAATTCCTTATGACTTATGAAACATAGATTTGACAAGTTCCATATTTTTCATCAAATATTGTAATTTTTTAATTTTAAAAATAATGCATCCATGACACATGCAACACATGCATTTTGGCTACAATAAATTAAATCCACTCACTCCTCACTGTCAACAAGGTTAGGTTCCAAAGACCAAGTGGTTATGGGAAATCAGTGATTTGTGAGAGTCAGCGGCTGTGAATTATCTGGTACCAGAGCCCTGCACATCTTGACATGCATGTGAAGAAAGAGTAGACGCCCACCCCCTCGTGCCCCAACTCCCCACAACCATGGAGCCTGAGGGGGTTGGGAGGCAGGAGGTGGTGGCTGGGTGCTGAACATCAATCGGCCCACCCAGGCTCCACATCCCCACGTGGACCCTTTCAGTCTGGCCCCAGCAACCTCCCAAGCACCTTTGCACTCTCATCCAGCCTCCACCTGTCCACCCCTGATCATACGTAATCCTGTCATGACCTCTCATCCTCCGTGGACAGATGAATCAGAGAAGGCATCCCTCATAAGGTCTCCTCATTACAGGAGCCCCTGGTACATCAATCAGGGTGGCCCAAGGAACCCTTCAACGGGGCCTGGATCAGACAGGCCACCTAAGATTGTTTTCAAAATAGTGAATGCAAATAATGAGATAGTAGCTTACTGAAGAGCAGGTACGTAAAGTTACAGGGGAAACTATGACACACCCACAGGTCAATCGTGGGCATATGGGACCGCCCATCATTTATTTATACCGGCACAACACCCTGAAGAAAACAGCACTCCCCCAATCACAAAACCACAGTCAGTTCCTCAGAGAAACGAAAAGAGAGGCAAAACCATTTTCTATATTAAAACGGCAATTAAACACTTTGAAATATGGGTGATGAAGCCTCAAGCTTCAAGGCAGTGTACAGAATTGCATCATCATCGACATTTTAAACCATTTCAAAGCTGAGGCTGGGGTGGGTGTGTGAAAGTCGGTGGACTTGGAAAGGTGGGCACATGCAGGTTGAGTTGTGCCTGCCCCACAAGTTATAGACTTTCATCTCCGGAGCAGCCCAGCTCAGCTGTAGCTGAAATGACGGGATTTCAGCTCACCTAACGCAATTTTGACACAGCAACAAGACATGGTAACTACACTGCTATTTCAGAGATGATACAAGGATTCTTTTGTTGGTTTTAAGTATTAGTAATGTTTAATTCCATGGAAAGAATTCAAAAAGTATGATTTTTAAACCTGAAATAAAAATACAGGAAAAAATAGACCAACTTCTGTTTTGTATATTTATTTTAGCACATGATGATGTCTCTCCAGGGGTCAAATGCCTCTAATTTAACACTCCTCAAAGTTGTAGGTCATTTCACCAACCCCAAAATCTCAAGGTGGCTGATCCCTTTCTGATATTTTTAGATGAGAATTTTAAAAGTTAAAGTACGACCTTCCATTTTTGTGGGAGGGATGCATAGATGAAGGTACTCAACACAAACCATGTCATGGGCCAACTTGATAAGCATCCTGGGACAATCGCCTGCCTCATCAAAGAGACATCGAGAAAAACAATCATGCTTATTAAATGGGAAACAGAGAAAATTACCTTTCTTTTGGTGTGCCAACGCCGTGTTTGCCAAGTAGATGAGTATTTAAGTGCTTCTTCATTACAAAAGCAACCCTAAATGGGAAAAATGTAAGAAAAGTAGTTACTAAACGAAAACTTGACTCTGCTACAGGCATGTCGAGTCTGAAGACATGGACAGGTGTTACATAAAATCTGAATACATTTCAATGGGACTCCTGTTAAGTAAACCAAACTGTCCTTGCTACTGACCGAAGCAGTCCAACACCATGCATACAGAACAGACACACTATAGAAACCAAAATCCAGCGACACAGTGACACCCAAACCGACTGCTTTGTTTTCTTGCTGGCATGTGCGAGGACAGAGGCATGGCTATGGTCCTCTGCCGTAGGGGACCTCACTGTAGCAGGCACTGCACTTATATTTCAGGCACGTGAGCTTCAGAAAACATCATGCAACTAAACGTCAGGGAAGAGTTTTCATGAAACTTTCTTGAGAACATGTTTATAACTTCGAGGAAGGGTTTTTTTTTTTTTTTAATGATACAAATGTTTATTTGACTGCAGCTGGAAAAAAGCAAATCAATGTACTTAAGTGCCAATAAGCTATCAATAACTGAAACAAACAAGAGGAATCACCTGACATGCGATCTTATTTTACACACAAATCAGTTTAGTTAATTCGATTCTGCTGACCTAACTATGAAACGGGAGGAATCAGAAGCCAGTACGCTGAGCTCCACTCATCACTGAACAGCATCAATTTAATTGTCTTCTGAGTATTTAAAACAATTTCGGTCTCACTCAGGAAGCACCAGGCAAAAGTGGCTCTCTTGATAAGTAAAAAAAAAAATTAAAAAAACAACAATAAAAAAATATTTTCTGCTATAACTTTTCACTGTAAAAGGGCTTGCAAACATTTTTCTTAATTACGTATTACAGCTGTCCTTCATAAAGTTAATTACTAATAGCTGAAAGGCAACAGAATCTATTTGCATATCTACATGAAAGGCATGACATATGCAAAAATATGATTTTAATTAGCATTCTAGGATATGAAGGGCTACAAATCAAATTGGCATGTTATAAGATTCTTCACATTAAATGCTGAATTCATCTGGACATGTTTGCACAAATGGACAACTGAGAACTGAGGAGCCAAGCCGCCCAAGGAAGAGAGGAAGCCCAGCCGCCAAGAGAAAACTGAATGCAGCTATCCTTCTCACTTCAGGGGCTACCATGGAACCTTAGTACTGAAGCTAAAATAATAAATTTGCATATTTAAAGTACTATAACGTCATTTTTAAACCAGTGTACTTGTACTGCATAAAAAGTAACATCACATCTTTCACAAACCAAATACACTAGGTAAGAGCAACTTCGGACAAGATACAGTTTCTAACTCAGTATAAATAACTGATCAGACCATCTATCACTAAAGCGGCAAGGTGGCTATTATATAGGAATAACCAAACTGCAATATACCGAATACTTAGAAAAAATAACAGTGTAAAGATGTTCTACATTTGTTTCTATTTCATCAAAACAAACTAGGTAACATTGTTCATTTATTTCCCTCAAAAAGAATTCAGTAATAGTAAACATCCATTCAAGGCATAACTTTCTACAGTCCTCGGTTTTCCTCTCATTAAGAAAACACAAAGCTAAGGTTAAAAACCCTAAACTGCACAGCACAGCTTGTTTACACCGCCAAGTATAACTCAAGAGTTTCGGATTTGGAAACTTCAGTGCAGGGTTCAATAGAGAGAAATTCTGTCCGTTACAACATCTGCGGTCTAAGAGCTGAGGTGAAAAGACTGCACCAGGAGGTACGGCCAAGAGGGAGGGAGAAGGCTCATCTGAGCTAACATGGTGAGGAGAGCTGGTAATGTATGACTACAGCGCTGTACTGTTCAGAGGGATCACAACTGCTTACCATGGCAGGAAAACATGGAAAAATAAAAAAGGTGTAATATGAAAATTCAGTTCAGTTGTATTCATATACCAATGCTTAGTCCTTACAATGCATAATTAAGGAAGGCATTTTTCCTTGAGACATTAAATTTGATATAAACAAGCACAAGTTCCTTACAATTAGTTTAAAGACTTGCACAAGTCAGTATGAGTCTATCATCCTTAGGCCAAGCAAGAAAGACCCAGAAAAATCCACCAGCCTACAGTATACTGCCATGGAGATCTGGTGTGGCGCTGTGTGGTACGCAGTAGAGCTCTGGTAGCGTAGTGGTTACGAGTCGGGCTGCCAACCACAAGGTCAGCAGTTCGAAACTCCCAGCGGTTCCGTGGGAGAAAGATGAGGCTTTCTGCTCCTGTAAAGATTTACAGCCTCGGAAACCCTGTGCAGGGTATGAGTCGGAACCGACTCCATGGTACTTAAAGACAACAACGAACCACAAGGTCACAGGTTCAAACTCACCACTCTCTCCTCGAAAACCCTATACAGGGTCGCCTGGTCGGAACCAGCTCGATGGTACTCAACAACAACAACAACATATCAACACAACATTGCCACCAACAGGTCATGACTCAGTTTAGCCTATTCTTCACTGTCTCTGTAAGAGGGTTAGGTACTAATATTTCAACAAGAAAGGGGAGGATTTCATGACAAGGGGGAAAAAGGAATGCCAAAGCTAAAAAACTTCAACCTGAAGTACTGTACTGATCCCTCACATTTCCTGCTGATCAGGAAATGCCATAAACCTGCCCCTGATCCCATTGTTTACAGTGCAGAAGGCACTCATCCCATTCTTGGACATATTGAATCAATAGAGACTGGAGCCTCGGAGACAGACCCCACACTTCCATCACTAGTGGATATTTTTTACTCTTCCTTCTCTGATCCGTTTCTGCCTAACAAAGGTTCTGTTGCGCAGGATTTGCTCTATTTGCTAAGTACCTCATACATGCGTGCTGGTTCAGAAACAGAATTCCAACCTTCCATGGGAGAGACCCGGGTTCGGTTCCCAACCAGTGAACCGCAGCTATCACCCATCTGTCTGTGGAGCGTCAGATTAGTGGGGACTAAGGAAGAAGGATCTGGTACTCTACTTCCAGAAGCCGGCGGCCATTGTGAACCCAGGGCTGTACCTGAATTTCAGGATCACTGCGCACAGAGTTACAATGACCTGGGGTGAATCAACAGCAGCTGAAGACGGAAACAGTGTGCAAACAACGGACCAACAACTCCGTGAGGGAATTACAGGTAAACCTCTAAGCTTCTGACCGTGACATTGGTAACAACAAAGCAGTCGACGTCACTCTAAGAGGCACGGCTGTTCAGCAAAGCACATGAAGGACCAAGATGTACACAAACAATTCAGGGAAAGAAAGCCAAGCCCAGAAACCTGCAGGTGGAGGTAGGAAGTGGGGCCAAGGAAGCACCTGTCAGGTCCTCCCACAGAGAGAAAATAGTCATCCCAGGTGTTTGCAAAGAGGAACCACGAGGATACCATGGCAGACACCACCGAGAGAGGGCAACAGATGCTAACACAGAGAGACAGGGTGGACTAACTGTCCATCTAGTGCTCCAGGCAGTAAGAGATCTCGGCCAGACTGGGATACGGAGTTGCACTTGGAGCCAGTAGAATTTCCATCTGGATTGGACTCAAAAAAGAAATCATCATTTCCAACCAGAGAAGAACCGAGCTGGCTTGAGGGTGAATATCAGTTTGGGATATTGTTATCTTCTATCTTCAATTAGAGAAACCCATTAGACATTCGAAAGATAAACCAACATGAGTCTGGATATAGTATCCTGGAGTTGGAAGTGAGATCCAGACTAGATATATACTTTCTCAGGCTAGTGATCTGGCAAGGGGCTGAACAAACTGAAAGAATACCTTAAAATCATTAAAAAAAAAAAAAGAATTACTTGGTTTTGGTTTCCTGTTTTATGACTGACCAATTGACGTCCCAGAACTCCCACGCATCTACAATGCTAGAACAAACATCATTTAAAATTTTGGTGCCAAAAGAGCAACACATCTTCATCCTAGCTACAGAGTTTGGATGAGAAATCCCATTAATTTCACTTCTCGATTTGAAGTAATTTCCCAGACATTTGGTATCATTCAATAAAAACCTCTTCCTTCCATCCCTCTGGATTTATCTCCGCCAACGATTTCAAATGACAAGTCAAGGGAGATGATCTGACTGACCTATGCGAGGTGATAAAATACATTATAGCATAAAAACAGAGCAAAAGATGTTAAACGCAGCACAAACCCAGGCACAGGGCATGGTGTGCCTCAACCTTGTACCATGTGTCGGGGGCTCACTTAGGAGCGAGTCTCCCATATGTGAGGGCAGAAGAGGAGTTGCCCCAGGATGCAGTCTGCGAGGTCCGGTTATGCTTTTATTTCTGCTTCCCCCAAGGATGCAGCAAGGAGGTCTGGTGGGAAAAGGTGCCCAGGTGGCATACTGGGTTAAGCATTGTGCTGCTCATCCAAAGTCGGGAGTTCAAACCCACCAGCTACTCCACAAGAGATGCATGAGGCTTTCTGCTCCCACAGATTCAAGGTCTCAGAAACCCCGTCCAGGGTCGCTGTGGGTCACAACTGGCCCGATGGCAGGTTTTGTGTTTTTTTCTTTGTATAAAAAAATAATTTCCCACTTTAGTAATACTAATTTCGAACTAGAGTGTAAGGTTGTTGTTGTTAAGTACCATGGAGTCGGTTCCGACTCATAGTGACCCTGCACAGGGTTTCCGAGGCTGCAAATCTTTATGGGAGCAGAAAGCCTCATCTTTCAACCATGGAGCAGCCTGTAGTTTCGAACTGCCGACCTTGAAGTTAGCAGCCCAATTCGTAACCACTACGCTACCAGAGCTTAAGGTTGTTGTTGTTGTTGTTGTTGTTGTTATGTGCCATGGAGTCGGTTCTGACTCATAGCGACCCTGTACAGGGTTTCCAAGGCTCTAAATCTATACGGGAGCAGAAAGCCTCATCTTTCTCCCGCAGAACAGTTGGTAGTTTCAAACCACCTACCTTGAGGTTAGCAGCCTGATCTGTAACCACTATGCTGCGAGAGTGTAAGGTTAGAGAAGGAAAATTCAGAGGTCACAGGGGAATGGTTAGT